CACACACACACTCCCCCAGACTCTCACACTCTCACACACACACTCCCCCAGACTCTCACACTCTCACACACACACACACTCCCCCAGACTCTCACACTCTCACACACACACACACTCCCCCAGGCTCTCACACACACACACACTCCCCCGGGCTCACACTCACATCCCCCCCAGAATCTCACACACACACACACACACACACTCCCCCAGACTCTCACACACACACACACACTCCCCCAGGCTCACACACACACACACTCCCCCAGGCTCACACACACACACACACTCTCCCCCAGGTGCGACTCACTTGTCGGGCAGCAGGAAGCTGCTGGGGAAGCGGTGCCACTCCTTGCCCACACACACACTGACCGGCCTGCCCTCGGGCACCGTGTGGATGCTGGGGTCCTTGGCGATGCGGTGGAATTCTGGGTACAGGTCGAGGGGAGCGTGGTACCCTGCGGGCGCACAGGACAGGACAGGGGGGCGTTACGACAGAGCTGGGGGCGGGCGCCCGCGGGCAGGCGGGCGTGGGCGGCGCCGGCAGCCTCACCTCGGAACAGGGCGACGGAGCGCGAGAGAGACAGCAAGGAGGACAGCAGGACGCAGCCCAGGGCCAGCCAGTGGGAGGACACTGTGTAGTGCTCCAGGCGGTACCGCTGGAACAGGAAGTGGTAGCACTTCTGAAAGGCGGAGAGGACACAGGCCGGGGTCAGAGGGCACGAGCGGGCAGCCCGCGCCCCGTGATGCCCCGGGAGAGAGAGGACACCTGCAGCGGCCCCAGGCAGGTCGTTTTCTCGTGTCCTGCCCGTTCCGTCTCCCTCCTCGCGCTCCTCTCTCTGACCCACCTGCAGGGACGACAGCGCCACAGCTCCGCACAGGCAGATGAGGGGGTAGATGGGAAACAGGAAGCGCTCCTCCTTGTGGGGGCGTGTGAAGAACACCAGCATCCAGATGTACATGGGTGACAGGGTGAGCCAGTAGGGCCGGCCCAGGTTCTGCACTGGAAAGAGAGACACACACACACACAGGTCACACTGAGGCGCTCTGCTGCTCTCACAAGACGAGGCCTCTTCTCTCCCACAGCCAGGCTGCCAGGCTCCTTCTCCACGGGACCTTATTGAGCTTGACTTAATGTCCAAAACAACACTGGACACACTGACCCCCCACAGCGCCGGACACACTGACCCCTCACAGTTCTGGACTCACTGACCCCTCACAGCCCCGGACACACTGACCCCTCACAG